GTGTGTGTGTGTGTGTGTGTGTGTGTGTGTGTGTGTGTGTGTGTGTGTGTGAGTGGAATGCAGTCTGTAAATAAACTGTAAGCCACACACTCATACTGACATTCCCGCCTCTGCTGCACATTACAGCTAATGGGCTAATGTTAGCATGTTAGCATCGTCACTGTCAGTCAGGCCTGTGGGAGGCCCCTGCAGAGCCTTTGGTTCCACCTTTAAAAACCAGTGAAACCATCAAGAACTCATTTGCTCGTCTTAAACTGAGCAACAGTTAACCTTCAGAAACGTTCGACCCTCAAACAAAATGTTGTCCTTTAGAAACACCTTTCTTTGGTTTACAATATAAAAATACAGAATCGAATCATCACCAGTGATGAATTCACCACCAACAATCTCATAAAATCTTTTTCTTATTCTTTGAAATCAAGAATTCAGAACTGACGAACTGTGAAACCAACACAGGACGAATGAAATGAAAGCTCTCATCATTCGGTCCCTCCAAACCAGCCCTTTAATCGTCTTTAATCCTTTGTTGGACTACCTGGCTCATCCTTCAACAGTCAAAACATTAGGAATGCTTTCTGGAACCCCATTGGATAATCTCAAAGCCCCACCTGAGCTTTGGCTCACCTTTACAAACTCTCATTATTATCTGTACTCATGAAAAATTCTAGAACTCATTAAAAACCCTTTAATATGTAACCAGGTCACCTCTTTAAACTGTCCACGGTTCTATTAGAAGATTATAAACTGTACAAATGACACAAACATCCTGAGAGATTCACATCCCTCTTTGAATGTTGAGGTGACAGAGGTGGGCATGAAAATCCCCGTGAATAACGAGACCGCAGGACCGACAAAGACCTGAAACAGGAAACGAAGAAGAAGAGCGATGAAGACGTGAGGCTGCTCTGAGGTCACGGTGCTGAGAGCTGACGTCCACTAGATGGAGCAGTTCCATCTGCATTCGGGGTGACGGAGCACCAGCCTCCGCTCACCTGTCCATCACGTCCTCGCCACACAGAAACACACCAGGAGCTCATTTAGAGCGAGTCAGAGTTCAAAGGTCAGCAAAGATCAAACCAGCAGCCTGGACACGTCTGTCGTGGCGTGTTCACCCTGAACACGTCGGCTTCCCGCAGCAGACTGAAATCAGGGTCTGTGTGAGGATGATGGCGGCTTCATCGTCAGAGGGCATTCCCCCAAACTCAGACACGCTTCATAACTCTGAATGACTCTGAACAGATGAGGTCATGCGATGGTCGGCAGATGACATCACTCCCTCGTACTTTTCCAGCTGCTGTGGTTGTTTTGGTTGCTGTTTTTCGTGCCCGGGGGCGAGGTGTATCAGCGTGCTGCTGGCGGTGCGGCAGGTTCGTGACTCACAGCTGGTTGGAGTTATTTAAAGAAGCAGCGGCGCAGACACGTCCGTGCACGCTCCACACGCTGCAGAGGCTTTGTTAGGCCGCTCGGCGAGCGCTGAGCTCACACAGGCATGAGCTGGACGGCCTTTACAAAAACATGAACACATCGACTCACACTTACCCCGCAGTGATGATGTCACAGCAGCGCGGGGAGAATCCCAGACGTCTGATTAGCTTCGGTGTGTAACGCCGCGTCGTCCCTGCTTCCTCTACAGTCACAGCTGACTCTGCTCTCTGGTTTCTGCAGCCACGAGGTGGAGGGAAGGGGGTGCAGAGGTGGTGTAATGGGAAATAGCTACAGCACAACTCCTGCTGTAGAGTTCTGATTGTTACACTGGTGTTAATACATCTTTAAAACTACTCAGATCCCTTTGGTTCACCTGTTAAACAAAGCGTCCATGTTAGGGACTTCCTGTCCGCCCTGCGGAAACCTTCCTGCCCTGTCACAGTCTTTAGCTTCTCAGGGTTAAAGTTAGGTTTTATTTCAGCCACACGCTAAAAACTGCAAAGTTTCAGGAGCTTCGGGATATTTTGGCATTAAAGACTTTTGGATGAGAGAGATTAACTGAACCTGAACCATCCATCAACTGCTCATCAGCTGGAGCCCATTACAGCTGCCGCGGGGCATGAAGGGCACACCCTGGACCTCTATCACAACAGTTTAAGAACTCTAAACCACCAAAACACAACCAGCTCTCAGGAAACCGGCCCAGGGTTGTGTCTCTGAACCAAACCCAGGCCTTTGGTAGATGAGACGAGATCTGACTGAAGACTTTAAAAAGGTTCTTCAGTTAATGTGAGCTCGTCATTGTTTGCTCTCCTGATGCCGCTCAGAGCTTTGATGTCTCAGTGAAGGAAACGTGATGACAAACTGTGCTGATCACCATCCTGTTTGTGCTGTTTCCAAGTAAGACACAGTGATGATGATGATGATGACGCAAACAGTTTGTCAAGCAAACCAGCAGCTTCATGGGAACATGTACTAAACCTGGAACTGGTTAGGATGGATCTGGGAAGGAAAGGAAAGGAAAGGAAGCAAACATGAGAATTCGTCAGTTTCTGCTATTGGCAGCTCGAGCATCGGCACCAGCCTTTAAATAGACCTTAATAACCTGAACCTGCTCAGACCTTTGAAACACGTGGCACTAATCCTCTACCCCACCCCTTTAATTTCTCCCAAAATGACTTTGAAACCTTCCATCGAGATGTCATGTTGAATCTCTCTGTGGCACTGCAGAGAAACCCCCAAACCTCTCAGTGATCTTTGGGACTCTCTTGTTAAAATCTAACAGCTAGAATCCCCCGAGATTAGAGCCCTGTTACGTTTGTGCTGGACTGGCACCATACCCAGTTGAAAACCTTTCTTTATTTTCTGAGGCGACTGAAATTAAATCTGAGACTCGTTTGCTCCTGAAACTCAGCTACAAATCAGCAGCTTTTTCAAATCCCTGGTGAAAGGTCCAGCAGGACCGACCATTGCCTACTGGTGGTGTCCGGCAGCCAGGGTGGCTGTGGCTACGATGTAGCTGCCATCACCAGTGTCTGGATGACTGGTTGTGTAAAGCGCTATACAAATACAGGCCATTTACCAACACCTCAAAAAACACCTCGAGGCACCAGAACATCACTAGAACTTAGAACCCCTGGGGTTCCTGAAGAAACCGTTTAGACAGAAACCATGAAACATGTTGGTGGTTATGTCTCTGTGACGGCGTCCTCAGATCACCTCCGTCACAGCAGCAGAATCAGAGACTGCCTTCATCCGTGTCCTTCAAACTTTCCACTTTGGGTTTGTCAGCGTCCCCCCCCCCGCTGACTGAAACTTTAGGTTTGTTCGTTTTTCTTCATCACTGAGGCTCTTCTGTCACGCCTGCAGACCTCCACCACTGTCAGCCGATGGCGGGGCACGTGAAGCCCACCGCCTCTTGGTTACTGTGCCCGTATCTGTGCCTTTAGGGTAAAGGAATCCCCGCCGCTTTGCCCGTCGCGGGACGAGACGGCACAGTCATGAACCGTGATGCCATGTTGACTGTAGCTGCAGAGTGTCAGACAGACTGATAGACAGTCAAACGGGTAACAGATGGACAGGAGTCATAGCAGAAACCCACTTCATCCAAGAATTTTCCCCTCGACATGCAACTCATTCACAGCCGACCGTGGGAGGAGGGGAGGGAGGGAGGGATAAAGGAATACCAGCTTTGCTCCATTAACAGCCAAACAGAGGGAGGGAGGGGGGAGGGAGGAGGGAGAAGGTAAAAGTTAGAGTGGTATGAGTCACAGAGGAGGATGGGAGGAGACTGGAGTGAAGGAGAGAGAGGGAGGGAAGGAGGGAGATATAATTATGGTGGGAGGCTGCCAGGGCGAGCGAGAGGAGAGAGAAGCAGAGGGAGGGAAAGAAAGACGAGCGAGAGAGAGAGAGTCCAGCCCACTCCGCTAAAACCATTCAACTGGTGAGCGAGGGAAGGCATTCACCACAGAGAGAGAGAGAACGAGGTAAAGGAGAGCGAGGAACTCCCGTCTTAACTTAGTCCAACTGCCTCTCTGACACACACAGACACACACAGACGCACACAGACGCACACAGACGCACACAGACACACACAGACGCACACAGACACACACAGACGCACACTCTGTGCGGCGACTTCACCCCGGGAACCAGGATCCTCCTGCAGACTTCATCATCCATTCATCACATCTGAGACTTTTTCTCCTTTTTCTTGTTTTCTTGTTTTTCTTTCTTTCTTTCTTGTGACGCCTCCACATTTTTCAGCCATCTGTCCCTGACAAAAAAGACACGGATTACTCATTTTCTCTGCCGGCGTTGTGTGTTTTTCTCTTTTTGTGTCTGGTTTCTTTACAGCTTTTTTTCCTCCGTTTCACAGGTGGACTGTGAGCTGAGCTCAACTTTGCAGCTTCCAAACTTCTGAGAGAGAACGTGAGAGAGCGAGCAGAGGAGGAGGAAGGTGAATCTCAAACACTCTTCTTCTTCATCCAGGACTCAGTTTTTCTTCACTTTTCTACCAAACTCGACTCTTCTTCGTCTCCTCGGCTCTGTTTGAGCACCCGGCAGCATCACTGAATCTCCTGCCGTCATGTCGCTGTTGCCCTTGCTCAGCTGGACCCTCCTGCTCCTGGTCCAGGTGCAGAGCAGCGTTTCCGCCTCGGACCCGGCGGGGCCCGGGCTCCAGCTGCTTTCCCTGACCGTCCACCCTCACCACCAGCCGGACGCCGGCTCCCACTGCCCCTCCTGCGCCCTGGCCAGGATGCGGAGGAACGAAGGGGTCACAGCGGGGGATGGCATGGCGAGGGGGCACGAGCAAGATGAAGATGAGGCGGCTCAGCAAGACGTGGTGGAGGCGGTGAAGAGGCACATCCTCAACATGCTGCACCTCCAGGCCCGACCCAACATCACCCGGCCCGTGCCGCGCGCCGCGCTCCTCAACGCCCTGCGCAAGCTCCACGTGGGGCGAGTGGCGGAGGACGGCAGCGTGCAGATCGAGGGGGAGGAGGAGGTGAGAGGGAGGGGAAGCCGAGGAAGAGGAGGAGGGGCAGCAGCACCATCGGTGGCGGGAGCTCGGGCGGGAGACGGCGGCGATGTTCAGGAGACGACGGAGATCATCACCTTCGCCGAGCCCGGTGAGTGTGACATCAACACGAGACAGGAAGTGTGTGTGTGTGTGTGTGTG